GAAGGGGGTACAGTAATGGGAGACAGAATTGATCAGGCTCATGACAATTTCCACTGGGAAATCTGACACATTTCCTCTCAGGGGACTCAATCCTTAAACTAGTGTCTTTTTAAGGGGAGTTGTCACAGGAGGGTTTTATGTAGAGAGAGACATGATGGGAAGAGACTCCCCCACCAAAAGACAGAAGTCCCACAGCAACCATCTTAACAACGCTTGCTTATTGCTCAACCACTTTGGAATTTACCATTGCCTGGATAGTCCTGTGCCATTACTGGTACCATTTTATGAGTGGGGAAACTGAGCAGCAGAAGGGAGAAGTTATTTCCCCAAGGTCATATAGCTAATAAAGGGGAAAGCAGGTATTTGCTTCCGGGTCTTTCAGATGGCAGGATCTGTGGGCTATTCTGCTGCAACAAAGCTGCCTGTGATGAAATTCTAGTCTGTTAGTAACCTTAGTAACAATAACAGTAACATAAAATAACATATACCATTGAATGAGTGATTTCTATGAGCCAAGTACTCTTTTTAATCCTTTACATGTGTTGACTCAGTGAATCCTCCTACCAACCAACCCTACAAGATAGTTACAATTATTAACTCTGAAATACAAAGGAAGAGACTGAGGGCCAGGCAGGTGAATTAATCTTCCAAAGTCACACTGCCAACAAATGTTAGGAGTTGAAGACAGACTGCGGGGCTACAGAGTCCATGCTATTACCCACTACACCATGCTGTCTTTCCAGATTCCACCCTCCAGAATGAAGGAAGTGCCCCATTCCACCTTATACAGAAATATGCATTGCTCCACCCACCTCCCTGCCACCTAATACCAAGTCTCTTGGCTTGACCCAACATCAGGACAAGCCACTGACATCTGCTGAACTCTAACAAGCATTGTGCTAGGTTAGGTGCCTTATGTGGCTTGTCCCATTCAAACTTCACAATGAACTCATAAAATAAGTATTACTGTTATTCCCATTTTACTGACAGGAGGATTAAGGCCAAACCATGTCCTTCCTCTGCTCAAAACCCTGAAGTGACCCCATCTCAAAGTAAAAGCCAAAGTCCTTACAATGAATCTACACAGCCCACAGTCTCCTGGCTGCTCCCCTAATGTGCCAACTCCATTCCTGCCCCAGGGCCTTTGCACTGGCTATTGCTTTTGCCTGAAGTGCTCTGACTCACAGGTATCCACCTTGCTCATTCTTTCATCTCCTTCCCATCTTTGCTCAACTGTCTTCTCAGTGAGGCTCTCAGTGACCACTGTTACCTGTCATCCAGGCCCACGCTCCTGACCTCCCTCATCCTATTTCATTTCTCTCCTGACTACTCATCATCATCAACTGTGACACCACATATTCTACTTCTTTGTCTTGTTTTTGCTGGTCTCTCCATCCAGAGGGTCAGCTCCATGAAGGCAACGATTTTTATCTCTTTTGTTCACTCTCTATCCTCAGGACTCACAACAGTTCCTGGGTTCATAAGCATTTGCTGAATTAGTGAATGAGGCTAGGAAAAGAGGGAGTGGTTGGCTCAAAGCTATGAACTCTAATGGAATCCAGGACTGTCTTTTTCACTACTTCACTCCTGGCAGGAGGGAGCTATTAAGAGCAGCCCCCTGGTGGGCCACAGTTGTCCAGAAAGAGGGGAATTTTCACCCAGGAGTAACTTTCTAGTGTGTGGCTTTTTGGAGGGACAAGATGACAAGGCATAGGAATCTCTTGAGAGGCCTTCCTGATACCACAACCACCATCTCTACCCTCTTAACCCACAGTATTTTACTGCACACATGCATATATATTTTGTTTTTTAATCATCTGCCCCCTCAGCTAGTATATCCACTCTATGATGACAGGGATTTGTATCTATTTTGTTCTCTGTTGCATCCTCAGTGTGAAGTAGGTGCTCATTAAACACTAGTTGAACAAGTGTTTATGAAGGAACATATGAATGAATGTGGGAGAGGATGAAGAACATTCTAGGCTTGGTAGAGCTGACAAAGGCCAGATAATTTATCCCAACGTCCTCACCTCCAAGGCCCTTTGAGACCAAAATTCCGCCTCTCTTGTCCTTCCTTTCAGTTCTTCTACTCCAACCTCACTGGCCTTTCTTGCTGCTTCTCCACTTACCACAATCATGGCCACATCAGGGCCTTTGCACGTGCTATTCCCTCTGCCTCTGTGTGGCTAAGTTATCTCTTGTAGCTGAGGTTTCACCTCAAAGTAACTCATCAGGTTCTCAGAGAACCCACAGAACAGCATTTATCTTGTTTATTTACTTGTTTCTGATCTGTCTCCTCAACGAAACTGTAAAATACTAGAAGACAAAAGAACTGTGTGCATCTCTCTATCCTTCATGGCTGTATGCCCTGGAGCTAGAACAGTGAAAATTCATTCAATGAAAAATGAATGCCTAAGAAAAAAGAGGTCACACCCTAGTGAAGCTAAGGGTGTTCAATAAGGAGTCCAGAGTGATGGCATGACAGTTAGGGTGAAAAGCGGCAGGTCAGGACAAGAGTTGATGATGCCAAGGGAGGAGAAACATTCTGAGAGGGAAAACCTCACAGCCTCACCGCGCGGCCCTGTTCCGTGGCGGAGGTAATGGAGACAGGAGCTGACCAGGGTGAGGATGGGGTGGGAGGTGGGGCAGGAGTATTTCAGGGGAGCCTGGAGCTAGGCTCCAGCAGGTATTTCTACCTGAAGGGGCAGAGCATGTGTGTGTGTGTGAATGAACTCTAGAGGGAGCTGTTCCACCGGGGGCGAGTGGATCTGAAAAGGGTATTCTTAAAAGAATCACTGGGGGGTTTGCAGGAGGAAAAACGGCATTCCTGGTGCTGACCAGAATAGAAAGTATTTTTACACCAACGAAGGGGGCATTCAGGGAAGGTGTGGTTAGAGCTTGGGGGAGGTGCTGTGTATGGACAGAGAATGGGTGGCAGCTCTGCTGCAAAGCATTAATGCAACACTCTGGAGGCAATCTTATAGGGGATGCTAACAGAGAGTTCATGAGCAGCTGCCCTACATGGGGAGGGGGGCAATGCTGGTGGCATTTGGGGAGCTGTCCTGGAGAAAGCAATGAGCAGTGTTATATGGAAAGGATCCTATAAGAAAGCACTAGTTGGGGGCCCTGGGAGCAGTTTAGAGGATCGCCACGAATGAAAGCGCTTTGGCAGCCGTCCTATCTGGGGGTGTTCATGGGGGAGATATCTGGAATGGTCTTATGGGGGAGCAGTGATTGGGGGTCCCCTGGCAAGGGCCTGGCGGGAGAAGCACTGACATTCTGTGGGTGGGGGGACGTTCTGGGGACCAGAGCTGGCCAGGTCGGGGCCCCCCGCCCCCACTGCCCCCGGGCCCCCGGGCCACGCTCTCCGTCACTCACCGGCGCCGGGGTCTCCGCCGGGGGGAGGCCGAGGAGGCGGAGAAGGCGCCGCCGCTCTGGGGAGACCCGAGGGCCCGACCGGAAGTGCCGCCCCCTCCCCCCTCCCCGGCAGCCCCGCGCCGCCCGCCTGCCAGCCCGCCCGGAAGCGGAAGCGCGTCTGTTCCCCAGGCGCCGGCGTGGAGGATCGGAAAGAGGAGGCGGTGGCGGCGCCCCAGAGGGGTAGTGCGCCTGCGCATTCGCTCGGGGACGCGGGCGGGGGAAGCCAAAGGCCACTTCCGGTGAGGGAGCTGAGCCAAGTACGCCTGCGCCCTATATGCCCGCCTCTTCTTAGGGCACGCCCACTCGCTGCAGACATCCGGTTAAGCCACAGCTCTGGCTCAGAGCTCTCACGTAAGCCCCGCCCCTGATTCTGTATCACGCTCATTTCAGAGCTTGCTTATTGTAAGCTCCGCCTCTTGCCTCAATTACGTCCTTTTCTCCCCACCCTCATGCAGTTTCTCCTGTTCTTCTCCCTCTCCAAGCCCCTACTCTCTAGAACTTCACCCCTCCCTCCTAGGCCACGCCCTCAGCCCCGCCTGTTTCTTCTAAGCTCCGCCTCTCCAAGTTATTTAGGCTGAGCCACGCCCCTTGCACTTAGGCCCCGCCCTTCCACGCATAGTATTTAAGCTGCACCTCATAACATTTATGGGCTAGTTCTGCCTCGCACCTCTAAAGCATTCCCTTAAGTCAGTACTTCTCAAAGTACAGTTCGGAGGCCAGCAGCAACAATATATCCAGCTCCCTGGCCCAGACCTTCTGAACAGAAACCATGTTGGTGGGGCCTAAGGATCCACGTTTGAAATACCCTTCGGTGGATTCTGATGCATGCTGACTTCGAGAATCACAGCTTTACCACACCTTACCTTGCCCCTCGCCTATGATCTCTATAAACCTCGCTGCCAACTCAGTCCCACGCCAAGCATCTAAGCCGAGTCCTATTTGGTCCCTCCTGCTAGGCTTCCACTTTCAGGGACTTCCTTTAGTGCTGCCTCTCTTAAATACCGCCTTCTCTCCCCATGGCCTGAGTAGCAGCAGTACGCCCACAGCGCAGCACCTTCTCCTAACAGTTAAGTCCCATCAACATGTATCCGGGTCTAAGTTTCCCCCATTAAGCCCCGCCCCTCAGATAAACTCTATCCACTCCCTCTAAATTGCTCTCTCGCTTTCTGCGGGCCAACCCCTAAATCTCTTTAAGCCCCACCCCAATTCTGAGCCCCTTCTAAGACTCAACCTAGTTCTGGCCTAACCAGCCCAATAAGCCTTGCCCTTCTCTCTCAGCCCCGCCCTCTCCCTAAGCCACACCCTATCTCTCTAAAACTTACCGAAACTGTTAGTCCGGCTCACACCTTCAACTCAATTTTTCCTTCCAGTGGGTCCTCAGATCATAGAGATGGGGCAAAAATGTTGGCTGCACAATTTCTGGGAATTTGTCTGGGACCAGGAGGGGGCGGGACCTAAAGTCACCTTTGCATAGAAGATTCAATGTTGCATAGAAGATTGGATATTTACTGGGAATACAGTTGGCTCTTGAACAATGTGGGTTTGAATCGCGCAGGTCCACTTACAGGTGGATTTTTTTCAACCAAAGACGAATGGAGAAAACAGCATTTGCAGGATGCGAAACCCGTGTATACGCAGGGCGGACTTTTCATAAAAGCGGGTTCCGCGGGACCGCCTGCTGTACTTAAGTATGCCTGGATCTTGGTACGTGCTAGGGTCGTTGAGCCCATCCCCCACGTATACCGAGGGACGAGGGATGACGGTACTCTGGGGTCTGATAGAGATAGGAGGGGGCAAAGGCTTCCTTCAAACCATTTTTGGCGCCACGCTAATGAGGCACACGTCATGGAGTACTCTCAGATTCCGAGGAAGAACATTTGAAGGGAGAAGAGGAAAGTCATCCCGCTACCATCACTGAACACACACAGGAAGCCAGTAGGCAGAGATTTATTTTCAGAGCCCCTGCCTCCAAGGGCCTGTCAGTCCGGGAGAATCGGGCAGAAGGCAGGACCGAGAAGTTCAGGTCCCCGCCCTCCACCCCGCCCCACAAGGGGAAGACCTTCAGAAACAAAGGTGCCCCGGCCCCCTTCCCCAGGCCCAGCACCGGCCGAGCTCCCAACTCTAAACCTGACCCTGGCCCAGGGAGCAGTGGCCGGCGGTGTCGGTCAGGCTGGCTCCTTCCCCTCTGGCTCCTCTTCCTCGGCCTCTGCTGTGGCCGGAATGCCCTCGTCATCCCACGGCGGTTCAGGCCCTGGGTCCGGGGGACACAGGGGTACCCCCATGGCCTCTGGGTGCTTGCGTTTGGCATGGCGCCGGAGCGTGTTGGCCTCTGTAAAGCGCAGCCGGCAGACGGGGCACTGGTACGGACGCTCCCCGGAGTGGATGCGGTGGTGATGGGCCAGCTCACCTGCCTCGCGGAAGCGGCGGGGGCAGAGTGGGCAGCGGAAGGGCCGCAGGCCGGCATGGATGTTGCAGTGCCGCCGCAGGTGGCTGGACCGCTTGAAGGTCTTGCCGCAATCCTTGCACTGGTGCGGCTTCAGCTCTGAGTGCGAGATGCTGTGGCGCTCTAGGTCAGAGAGGTAGGGGAAGGCCCGCAAGCACACAGGGCAGAAGTGCGGGGCCTTCTTGGGGCCAGAGCCCTCAGGCCCACCTGCCGCTGACCCTTCAGAGACTGTATAGGGCACACCCTGATCATCGATCAACAGGAGGTCGCTGCCACCACTGCTGCCCACTGGGGCTGTCACTCCCTGCGCCAGCGGGGGCTCCTGCCCTGACTTGGGGGGACGGCCCCGCTTGCGAGGGAGGGAGGCTTTGAGCGTCCGATTTGAGGAGGTGGCCCCCCCGGGACGTCGGCCTCGGCGGCCCCGGGGAACAGGAGGAGGTAAGGCCAGAGGTTTGTCTTCCTGCCCCGGCAAAGGCGAAGGCAACGGGTCTGGGCTGGGGGTGTCCATTGAGCAGTGGGGGGGCTTGGGTCTGGGCACTGGAGCCGGCTAAGAGGAGAGAGGGGCAGAGTCAGTGCTGGAGGGTCTGGAGCACTCCTGTGCCTCCCAGCACCTCGCCCGTCCCCTCTCTCCAAGTGTTTGGCCCTGGGCATGCTTGATATTCACCTGGACACATAATTATAGCCATGCTGGTGGGTAAAATACTGAGATGATTTTGTACCAGTTGGTAAACAGCCACTGCCCTGAGCTCCACAAGTGCCCCCCATGCCTCACTAACCCTTCCCTGGATCTAGAAATTCAAGGTCAACATGAGCTGAAATAAAGAAAAAATTTCTAGGGAGGACAGAGTCCAACTGAGGGTGCAGGCCACTAATGTGATGGTGGAAACAGAGTCCATCAAACCCCAAAGCCATAGAGGCCTCCGAAAGGCTCTTGTCCTTCCCTTCTGATTGACAGAAGTGGGGAAGAAGTTCAGGACTGGAGAAAGGACTGATCCCAGGTGATATTTGACCCTGATTTCTGGGTGAGAAATATATACCAGTTGTTAAGAGCCTGAGTTCGGGTCCTGAGTCTGCCACTTACTCTCTGTGTGGCCTTGGGCAAGGGGTTCACCTCTCTGAGCCTCAGTTAAGAGTTTTGCAAAATAGGACTTAGTTCTACCTACTCACCCAAGCATGCCATGAGGATAATACACACGAAGTGTTCATACACAGAATCTTTTAGGAGACATAAGTAGCTAAGCCTTACATCAACCCTCTGAATAAGGGTTCATCTTCCCATTTTGTAAAATGGGGAAACTGAGGCACGGGAAAGCCAAGTCAGTTGCCCAAGTTCCCTCTGCCGGTAAGTGGCAGAGCCAAGACTTGAACCAAGTCTTGATGATTCCAATGTCCCAGGAAATGAGAAGAAATGGACACAAGAGGCACAGGGAAATTAGGTCTTTCAGTCCTGGGTTTGAATCCAGCTTTGCGTATAATTAGCAAGTCACCCTACAAGAGATTTGCCTCTCTGAGCCAGTTTCTCTCTCTGTTCAAAGGACATACCAGGATTGTCAGGAGAATCAAATAAGATAAGGGGCTTTAAAATGCTCCTAAAACCCTGCCAGGTGCATAGTAAGCACTCACTGCCAGGTGCATAGTAAGCACAAACTACCACCACCACCACCATCATCTCCCAGTCCCAGTGCCCACTCCAAAACTGGGAGCTTGAGAATGGGGTGTAAGAGCGGAGGGAGGCACAGGTGCAGCTAGGAGCAGGTGCTGCAGGCGCCCCCTGCACCCCTCTTTTAACAGTCACATACACAGAGGTCCAGAGAGGGCAAGCACCTTTCCACGATCATATGGCTCACTCCCGTGGGGTAACCTAGACTAGAAGCCGAGTCTCCGGAATGGAGGGAAGGGGGAGCTTGGTCCCTCGACCCTTCCCTCCCCTCTCCCGCGGGCAGGCGCGCCCATCGGCCCCCGAGCGGCTAAGCCCGCGCGCGGGGCGGGCCCTGCGGGGGCGGCGGCCAATGAGCGGCGCGGGGACAGCGGGTGAGAGCTGCCAGGAAGGGGGTCTGCGCGCGCGCGCGCGCCCGGGCAGGCTCCGCGGGGCGCGAGGTCGGCGCGCGCGCGCGCTGGAGCGAGCGCGGGAGAAGAAACAGGTGTTTGGGGGGCGCGCTGCAGGAGCGCGCAGCCCGGCCTCCCCTCCCTCCGCTCCCCCTCCTCCAGCCCGGGCCCCCCGCCTCTCGGGTACCTCATTTGCATGTCGCCTGGGCTCGCGTGTGTGCGCGCGCGCGGGGGGCGACGGGGCCGGCGCTTGGGAAGGGGCGGGGGTGAGGGGGCCCTGCCCCTCGGCAGCGGGGCGGGGGCGGCGGCGGCGCGCGGGGGCCGGCCCCGCCCCTCGGAGCGGACGCCCGCGGCCCCTCCTTCCCCTCCCCCGGCGGGTCCGCGCGCCCACGAGAAACAAAGGGGCCTCGCTGGGTCCTAAGGACCGGTCACGTCCGCGCAATCCAACCGCGCCTGCGCACCAATCTTTCTGGTTTGCTTCCAGTGGGAAAGAACCCACCACCACATCCCCAACCAGATCGAAATGCCTTTCCTCCCACAAAGCACCCAGCCGGGTGACCCAATCAAAGACAGGTACCGAATGGATGAGAAACGGGAAAATGGCTGCTCATTGCCCGTAACTAACATGGCGCCAGACAGGCTTCGATGCCCTATGGAGGGCTAAGCGGATAAGATGGTGCCTGGTCTTTTCTATCTCTGTATCGGAGTTGGCACACTTCGATTTCTCTCTTTTCTCCTGATGCAACTCTACATAATACGCAGGAGGCGTCCAAGGCTGGAAACAGGGAATCGTATTTGCCTCCGACTACGTCAGCACTCACTATCGTCACCCCGGAGGAAAAGAAGTCACGCGGTTAGCTCCTTGCCCTTAGTCCGTATGGCGTCGCGGGTATCCTTAAGTTACGCCCCCTCCCTCTGCCCTCACTCAAGATGGTTCCAGTCTGGCTTCTCCAACCTCTAGGGCTAGGAAGGGGAAGTCAAAGAGAGAGAAGGGCGGGGAGTGGGGAGGAGAAGCCAAGTGGGCGGGAGAAAGGGGGAGTGAGGGGGAAGGGACCTGAGGCGGAAGTCGAGGGGCCCCCCGGGTGGAAGTGACGCTGCCCCCGCTGCCCAAAATGTCGGCGCCCAGAGGGAGGTGTAAGTAATTAAAGAGGAAAGCCGACTGACTTCCCTGGCCTCTCGGGGCCGCCCCGGGTCTCCAGAACCTCCGCTCCCTGCGGGCGAGGTGGACTTGGCTGGTCCCGGGGCCTGCCTGACCTGCCCCCACCCCGGGCGCCCGGGGCCGCACCTTTTAGGGACAGGGGGAGGGGCACAAAAGGCCGGCTCTCGGGGCCTGGGGCCTGGAGGGGACTGGGAAGGGGGGGCCAGCTCTGCAGGCTGCGGGGTGGAGAAGGAGGCGGGGCTTAGTGGCGGTTGGGGCGGAGCACGGGATGGGAGGGGCCTTTGGGGCGGGGCTTATGGTGGAAATGGGAGGAGTTTGGTGGAGGGAGTGTCTGTGGGCAGAAAATGGGAGGGGCTTAGCCAAAGAGGTGGGGCTTTATAAAGGGGCGTGGCTCAGATAGTGGAAGGGCTCTAGGTTGAAGAATGGAAGGAGCTTCATTAATGCCTAGTGGTGAACTGGAGCTCAGGAAGCATGCGGGAGAAACTTAGAGGGGAGTTTGGGGCATGGCTTAGAAAAAGTGGGTAGGCATAGTGAGGGGGCGGGGCTTAGTGTGTAATTCGGAGGGTTTTAGTGGAACTATCAGTCTTTATAATGAAGGTGAAAAGGCTTTGGAGCGATGGGGAGGGACTTAGAGGGCCAAGAAAGGTGTGAGACGGTGACAGAAGTCCAGTGCAGGGGACCTTGGAAAGGATGGGGCTTCTTTATAGGAAAAATTGAGTGGGGCTTGGAGGAGGGTCTTAGCAGAGCACTGGAGGGTTTGGAGAAGTCAGATAACTTGGAAAGCATGGTAGGACTAAAAGAGGAAACTAGGAAGAACTTAAAGGATAGTACTGGTCAAAACAGCCTACTTGTTGAGTCTTTCTTGTGCACTGGCTTAAGTAACCACATAGCACACATTGCCACCATTTTGCTTAATCCTCACCACCACTCCATGAGGTAGGTACTACTATTATTCCCATTTTGCAGATGAAAAGAGTTTTAGTTGGTTTTATCTGAGGTTACAGAACTAGTTCTGGTCTCCCTGCAAGGATGACTCCACTGTGCTTAGCCCCGTTCACTAAGTAGTCGTCTTTTAAGACAAATGGGAAGAGCTTAGAGGGGAGCAGGAGGGGCTTTGGAGGGGAAGGGGCTTGGCAAAGCATACAAGATGCTTAGGAAACAGTGGGAGGGACTGTTCCCTGAAAGGAGGGACTTTGAAAGGCAGACGACCTACGCAAGAGGGGGAGGGGCTTAAATTGAGAGGAGCAGTAGTCCATTCACAAAGAGGGACAGAGGCTTCAAAGCAGTGGAGTAGAAGGGACTGGGAAATGATTAGGAACACTGGCAGATGAGTAGAGAAGAGGGAGAAAAGTCTGTAAGAGGGCGGGAGGAGTTTAAAGAACAGTGAGTGGCTTAGAGGGGTGAGTGTGGCTTAGCAGTGGGAGAGTCCCAGGTAGTGGGTCTGTGCGCCCAAGGAGCCTGGGAGGGGAGAGCTGATGGGCAGGTGGCCCCCTCACACCTGCTCCTCTGTCTCCTCCCCACTCCAGAGAGAGCCCCCACCCACTAATTCATTCCCTGCCACCATGGATGATGCCCCGCTGCCAGCGCCCCCGGCCCCCGCCCCAACCCCAGCACCAGCACCGCCCGCCGCCGCCCCCCGTGTCCCGTTTCACTGCAGTGAGTGTGGCAAGAGCTTCCGCTACCGCTCAGACTTGCGGCGTCACTTCGCCCGGCACACGGCGCTCAAACCCCATGCGTGTCCGCGCTGCGGCAAGGGCTTCAAGCACAGCTTCAACCTGGCCAACCACCTGCGCTCGCACACCGGCGAGCGGCCCTACCGCTGCTCTGCCTGCCCCAAAGGCTTCCGCGACTCCACTGGCCTGCTGCACCACCAGGTGAGTCCCTTAGGCCCCCCCCCAGGCTGGCCTCTCCAGGCTGGACATGTGCTCGAACGCTGGCCCCACTCTGCTCTGGGTGAAAGGAAGCGGACCCAAGGCCTGCTCACCCACCTCCTCCCCTTAGAAAATTTCTTTCTCTCCCTTCCTGCCAAAGCACCCAGACCAATCAAAGCATGAAGTGTTTCTTTCAGTCACCACCAACCCACGAACTAGAACATTCATAGTAAATCTGCCAACCTGTGTGCTCCTCTCCTCTCCCATTCCCCGCTAATGCCCTCCCTCCATCTTGTGTTTATCGTTCCCTTCCTTGCTGTTTTAAAAAATAGGTTTATCAGGTATATGCTTAATTACCTTACTCAGAGATTATCCAGTGAGTGGCAAGGTGAAATCAATAAAGTTCATGCCTTCAGAGAACTTATATTCCTTTGGAGGTGGTTTTAGCTAGATAGGTGAAAAACAAGAAAGCAAACACAGAGGCAAGAATGTTCTGGAAATGGAAAAGTGTTGGAAAGGAAATTAAAGAAATCGATATGTAGAAATAAAGAGGGGAGAGGTATGTGCTACTTCAGACAGGGTGGGGAGGGTCAGGGCAGTGTGACAATTGAGTTGAGACCCAAAGCATGGCAGGAGTTCCAGGCAGAGGGAACAGCATGTGCAAAGGCCCTGGGGGGGAAGGAGCTTGGTGTGTTCAAGGCAGTGATGGGAGACTGACCATGTGGTTGGGTGGAGTGAGCTTGGAACAGCATGGAAGGCAGGGATGGGCTGGGTCACCCCATGTCTATGTGCTAGACACTAACACAACAAGGGTAAGTAGTAAAACCTGATGTTTATCAATGGTCTTGTCCCCTCCTCTCTGTCCCCATGGCATCTGCCTTGGTTCAGAACCTCACATCCTGGATATTGGCCCCAACTTTCTAAGTGGTCTTCCTACCTTCTGTGTCTTTCCCTCATGTCCAGCCTCTGCATCCATCACAGAGTGACCAACCAGGTCCCCACTGCTTAAAACCCTTGATCATTAGGCTGACAGGGGTGGGAGCTTCTTAACTTGATGTGACATTCACAGCCCTCTGAGACCTCAGCCCTGCCCACCAGTAGGTTGTAATTCCACCGAACCATTTAATGAGCCCCTGTGTGCAGGCACATTACGAGGTTGCTTGGGGGGGGGGCGGGGAACGGGAACCAAATGACACAGTCTACTCCTTTTATGACTTCCCAGAGCCAACAGTCTAGTGGGGGAGTCATTAACTGAACAACTAGGTTAATAAATACTAGATTGCAACTGAGATGTGTGAAGATAGAGGGTAGCAGTGTTCTGAGGCTAATACAAGAGAGGTCTGAAGGAGTCTGCCTCTGAAGAATGAGGAGCTACTAACCAGGACAAGGGATGGTGGGGGCTTCGGGGAAGAGCTTTCTAGGTCCAGGGAACAGGATGTGCACTTCCAAGGAAACAAGGCAGGCTTTTGAGGAACTGGAGCAAGGCCAGGGTGGCTAGAGCACAGAGGACTAGAAGACAGTGTGGCACAGGAGAAAGCTGGAGTCTGCCAGACCCTGGAAACACAGCTGTGAGCAAAACCAATGCGGCCCCTGTTTTCATTGTCCTTATCTGATGGGGAGACAGACAACCCCCAAATTAGATGTAGACACGGAGTGTGACAGGAGCCATAAGCTCTGTAGGGGGTGAGATGCAGGGAAGGATTTCCAAGGAGCTGACAGATAAATTGAGACACAGGATAAGGCAGGACCTGCCATTGAAAAGGGCATCCGAGACAGTGAGGACAGCATGTTCTGGGGTCAGCATAACCCCTTGGGTTAGAAAGTCAGAGTGGAGAGAGAATACATTTAGTGACAAAGAGTATAGAGTTCCCACACTATATACCCACACTGGACTGCACTCACATCATCATGTCTAGTGCCAGGATGGCAAGTGGATAGCACTCCTTTTTCCTTCATCAGTTCCTTGTCCCTAGTAGACATTACTAATCAAGCACTGTACCCCTTCAAATCCAGCCTTACAGTCTTTCTACCCACAGGCCTCCAGGCAGACATGACCAATCAATGGGACTCCACACTCAAAGATCTCTCTGCTGTTTATTTCCAGACTCTTAAATCACCCACAAGGGCAAATATCAATAGAAACCTCTGTAATTACGGCACAGTTTCACCCAGTCTGTAAGCCTGGCTCTTACCCCAGCAAAAATACAGATTCCTGGACTTCCTCCTGGGAGATTTGGATTCCCTGGATCTAGACATGATTCCCTGGGTCTGTATTTGTTAAAACATGTTCAGTGGGACTCTGAGGTGCGGTGCAGCCAGATTTGGTTCAACACCACTTCTCTGCCCTAATACCTCCCAGGGCTGTTAGTAACTTGCTCATGACAGCAGGCTTAAGAATGGGGAGATGCCTGTCCCAGGGCTGGCTCCCTGGGACTCTAGATCTGCATTGTCCAGTATGGTAGCCATTAGCTACAGGTGGATTTCGATTTAAATATATTAAGTAAAGTCTAAAACTCAGTTCTTTAGTCACACTGGCCACATTTCAGGTGCTCCATAGCCACATGTGGCTAGTGGCTAGTGGCTACCAAATTGAACAGTGCGGACAGGACCATTTCCATCACTGCAGAAAGTTCTTTTGGACAGTTTTGCCCTAAATGGTGCAACATTTTCCTCGAAAAGCCACTTTCTACCCCAGGGGATTATGAAAGCCCCTCTACACCTCCCTCCAGTATACACCGGTTTAGAGGACAACAGTTGGACACCACAGAAATATTGGTTAATAGCAATTTTAATTTCCATGAATTGAACAGTTATTTTGTGATGATTTCAGCAATACTGTGGGATGGCCCATCTTATTGTGCCCCTTTTGCAGAGGAGAAAAGCAAAGGCCAGAGATGCAAAGTCACTTGGCCAGGCTTTCACAAAAAGTAGAAGGCAGCGCTGGGATTTAAACCCAGGTCTGCCAGTGCCCAGAGCCCCCTTGTCTTTAACCACTCTCCCAGTGAGTCACAGTCCCCAAGGTAGGCTTGTTGAAAATGAGTGATAGCCAGGAGGAGTGGGAGGAAGAGTTTCCCAGCCTGAGGAACCACCATTTGCAAAGGTTCTCGGACTGGCAGGGACTTGGCCTTTTTGAGAACCAAAAGGATGCCAGCGTGGCCCAAAGCAGAGAGCCAACAGTGTGAGGGTTGCAGCCAGATCATGGCCCTGTCGCTTGGACCACCTCCCTCTGGGACTGCAGTACTATCTGTTGTGTAGGCTCAATGCTCACCTCTGACTGTCTCTTCCTCCCGCACTCCCAGGTCGTCCACACTGGCGAGAAGCCCTACTGCTGCCTGGTCTGTGAGCTCCGCTTCTCCTCGCGCTCCAGCCTGGGCCGCCACCTCAAGCGCCAGCACCGCGGAGTGCTCCCGTCTCCGCTGCAGCCGGGCCCGGGCCTGCCCGCCTTGAGCGCACCCTGCTCCGTCTGCTGCAACGTGGGGCCCTGCTCGGTGTGCGGGGGCGCGGGGACCGGCGGTGGAGAGGGTCCAGAGGGGGCAGGCGCTGGCCCAGGCAGCTGGGGGCTGGCAGAGGCGGCAGCTGCGGCGGCGGCCTCGTTGCCCCCGTTCGCGTGTGGCGCCTGCGCACGGCGCTTCGACCACGGCCGCGAGCTGGCGGCCCACTGGGCTGCGCACACTGACGTGAAGCCCTTCAAGTGCCCGCGCTGCGAGCGCGACTTCAACGCGCCGGCGCTGCTGGAGCGGCACAAGCTGACCCACGACCTGCAGGGCGCGAGCGCGCCCCCGGCGCAGGCCTGGGCCCCTGGGGCAGGCGCTGGGCCCGAGCCGGCCCGCGAGGCTGGCGCTGCGGAGGCAGGCGACGATCCACCGGCTTGGGACGGGCTGCTCCTGGGCCCCACGGGGGGCGGTGTGCCCGAGCTGGGGGGGCTGCTCCCCGAGGGCGGCGGGGAGGCCCCTGCGCCTGCAGCGGCAGCCGAACCGTCCGAAGACACCCTGTACCAGTGCGACTGCGGGACCTTCTTCGCGTCGGCAGCGGCCCTGGCCAGCCACCTGGAAGCGCACTCGGGCCCGGCCACCTACGGCTGCGGCCACTGCGGAGCGCTGTACGCGGCGCTGGCGGCCCTGGAGGAGCACAGGCGGGTCAGCCACGGCGAGGGCGGCGGGGAGGAGGAGGCGGTGGCTGCGGCCGCGGCCCCGGAGGGAGAACCGGCGTCAGGGGAGCCCGCGTCTGGCTCAGGCCGCGGCAAGAAGATTTTCAGCTGCTCTGAGTGCGAGAAGCTGTTCCGCTCGCCGCGCGACCTGGAGCGGCACGTGCTCGTGCACACCGGCGAGAAGCCGTTCCCGTGCCTCGAGTGCGGCAAATTCTTCCGCCACGAGTGCTACCTCAAGCGCCACCGGCTGCTGCACGGCACCGAGCGGCCCTTCCCCTGCCACATCTGCGGCAAGGGCTTTATCACGCTCAGCAACCTCTCGCGGCACCTGAAGCTGCACCGGGGCATGGACTGACACAGCCGGGCCGCGCCCTGCCCTCGACCCGACGCCTGGACTCAGGGCCTGGGACAGGGAACCCCGGGCCTCCAAATCCAGACACAGGCCCTGAAATGAGGGGATCCTGACTGGAGAGATGGGAGCCACCAAAAACCCACACAGGCCCCTGAGCTGGGGAGCCACAAACAAACGGAGAGACTCCTGAGCTGGGCGGGGTGTGTCCAAGAATATAATAGTTGGGGACCCCAAATCTAGGGAGAGACTTCTGAGCTAAGGGCCCCTGGAATAGTGTGGGCAGCCCTGAAATCAACAGGCCCCTAAGATGCTGGGAACTAGAAATGAGAAATGGGTCTCATAAGTACCTCTAATCTTGAGGGCCCCAATAATAAAAGATGGGCCCCCCCAAGGGAAAGATTGCCCCCCTCCCTGAGAGCCATCATTCCCAACGACCTTGATCTGGAGGATGTAGAGGGACCATGTCCCTGAATTTTCCTAGATCTCCAAATGCTACCCACCAGAGTCACTGGTGCCCCCAGAAAATGGATATAGCCGATATCTGCCTTTCCCCCATTTCATTCCCTATGCTGAAAGAGGACCAGGGTAGATGCCCCCTGCCCTCAACTACTCCCCCAATTAGGTCTCTCTCCCCTACTGCAGAATGGATAGACGCTAATGATCTTCCCCACCCCTAAACAATAGAATAGACTGGTCTGAAATCCCCCTGCCCAGTAGGATGGACTGATCCATATGCGCACACCCCTGTCCACATGGAATGGGCTGGTCCAGGTTGTGGACTGCACCCCACCCTCCTTAGAGTGAATAGGGCAGACACTCCTCCCTCTTCCTGTAGAGCGGACTGGTCCACCTCACACCCCATCCTGTGAACTCAGTGGAAGGTGGTGGTCACTGGGGCTTCCCTCCCCTTCTACTGTAGCACCTGTTGGTCTTTCTCTCCATCTCTGTTGGTTTGTCTGTCTCTGTGTTCCTCCCAACCCCAAAGGGAAGGGAGGACTTGGCTAGGGGGTTCCCCCCATTGAGCCTCGACCTCACCCCCTCATCTCACTCCCCAATGTCTCCAGGACCCCAATAAACCTCGTCCTGTCAGTCACTGCCGTCTCATTTTCTGATCCTTGGCTCCAGGGGTGGGGTGGGGATCTCTTCCTCCAAGACTTAGGACAGATCACCTAAATAGAGACACATCCACATCCTTGCTCCCTCCTGAGTTTTGGATCCTTTAGATCTGCAGTCCCCAATCCCCAGGCCACCAGCCAATATGGGTCCATGCCTATTAGGGACTGGGCTGCAGAGCTCTTCTGGCCCCCATCCGTGGGAAAATTGTCTTCCATGAAACTTAGGAAATGGGGACAGCACAGCAGGATGTGAGCAGGGAGGGAAGCTTCATCTGTATTTACAGCCACTCCCCATCACTGGCATCATCACCTGTGCTCCATGTCCCTCGCTCCCTCCTGTGGAAAAATTGTCTTCCATTAAACCAGGCCTTGGTGCCAAAAAGGTTGGGGGTCGCTGCTTTAGATAGTACACAACCCTGTCCCTTAAATGCCAGATCCACCTCCAACAGACAGATTCACCCCCTAGAAACAAGACACCCTTTGGAAGCCTCCAGTTGCATAGGACACACCCTTTAGAAACAAAACTGTCTCCTTAGGGACACGTGTAGAAAGACCCCGCCCCTTAGACTCTGCCCCTGCTGCCCCCCGCCCCCAAACCAAATTTGAAACTTAGACCAGGGTATGCCCTTCAAATTGTCTCCTACAAAGTTCAGGCCTGTAATCCTAGCACTTTGGGAGGCCCAGGCAGGAGAATTACTTGAGGCCAGGAGTTCCTTCGAGACTAGCCTGAGCAAGAGTGAGACCTGTCTCTACAAAAAGTAAAAAGTTAGCCAGGTGTGGTGGTATGTGCCTGTAGTCGCAGCTACTCAGGAGGTTGAGGCAGGAGGATCACTTGAGCCCAGGAGTTTGAGGTTGCAGTGAACTGTGATGATACCACTGCACTCTAGCCCTGGCAATAGAGCAAGACCTGGTGTGAAATGAAATGAAATATGAAATGAAATGAAATGAAATAATCCTGAACAAAAACATTGGAAATCACCAGTGAGGAAAAGAGACCTAAGAGCCTGGGTTGAGGAAAAGGGCTAAAAATCTCTTGGTGATGTGCTTTGATTACTGCCCATGATGGATCATCATTTCCTTGACTACAGAATGCAGCCAGTGGAGCTTTGCTAGACACCTGGGACAGAGTGGAGGGACGTGGTGCCAACTGCTAACACAAAGGGCAAAGGGGGTGGTGTCAAAATCAGAATTTCACCCTGTTATAAGTAATCTAGAAAATAAACAGTCTCCTACACACTAGATTACTTTCCTGTGCCCAGTGCTTATTCTGTGCCAGGTGTTGTAACCCCCTCAGAGGATCCAACAGCCAACAGAATAGATAATCCCAGCCCTCATGGAGTTTATATTCTAGTATGTGGGCAACGGTGGTGGGGAAATGAGGCATCAGAGAAATGAAGAAGGCCATTTCGTTCAGATGGATATGAGTACTCTGAAAGCAATAGGGAAGAGAGTAGCTAGGCTATGCCACCTCAGATGGGGTGGTGCAGGTGGGCAGGAGTGACATTTGATCTGATCCCTGAAGGGTGAGGAGGGACAGCCCAGAAGGACGCCTGACTGGACACAGGAGGAGAGTGAGCCCGGGGTGGGAAAGATGAGACCAGGTTGAGACGTCGGCAGGGGTCAGATTGTGCAAGCCAGGTAAGCCAAGGTAAGATTTGACTGTGTTCTCTGGCAACGGGAAGCAAGGTCTTAAGTAGGGAGGGATGTGCCCACCCATGCGCTTTTCCAGGATCTGACTGCTGAGTGGGGAAGATGCTGAAGGATGCAGCATCAAAGCAGTACAGGGTCCTTGCAGTCTGCCAGGAGAGACGTGTGGGAGCCTGGGCCAGAGCGGTGAAGAGAAATGGGTGGATTCGAGATAAATTCTGGAGGTCGAATGCAGAGGACTGGTTGTGTGCGCATGCGTGTTGCATGTGTGTAACTGGGGTGGGGTGTAAATCAAGAGTAAATGGTTGGGTGGTGGCATTTTGTATTAAGACCAGGAAACTTGGGGGAAAGGACTCGTTTAGGCAGGTGTTTAGGGGAATCGATGGTTCCTCTTGAGCTGCTTAGATTCAATATGCTAAATAATAGGTTGTATTCATATGCATGCCTTCCCATGCAGTAATTCTGGCAGGCACAGATCCTAACGCCCATCCATTTGCACCAGCAGGCACGTAATACCATTCACAGCAGCAACTTTTTCAGCCCCAAACCGAGGAACCAAAACATCCATCAACAATACAGTCCATATTTTGCCAGGTAGATGCTAAAAAATAAAAATTTAAAAAAAGAACAATACAGTAGATAAATAGTGATACACAATGGAACACTATACAGCAAAGGAGAATGAAACACAATATCACGAAGTTACACAGATGCCAGATGCAAGAAGCCAGGTACATAGAGAGTGATTCCATTTATGTAACCTTCAAAAGCAAGCAAAACAAAACTGTGATATTGTTTAGGATGCATTGTAGGTAGTAAAGCGAGAAAAAGACTTTTCTGTGAAACTCAGATCGGTGGATTAGACAACCTAAGCTCAGGAGGGGGCATCTGGGAAGCTTCTATGGTTGCTGACAGCCGGCAATGTTCTATTTCTTAATCTGGTGATCATTTCGTAACTCCTTTCTTCAATCGTGTACTTTTTATCTGTGCATCTTACATTTCACCGGGAAACATAATTAAAGGGGGAAGACCTATTCTGGGGGGAGACAACAAGTAAAAGTTTAGCACTCAAGGAAGAATTTTTGACTGCAGATCCACAATTGCCACTTGGAAAAGGCTTCACCCCCTTGGGAACAAAGTCGGCTCCCCAGGGCGCTAAACCTTAGAGATATTCCTCTCCACTCCGCAACTGCCACACCCAGGAACCAGACGCTCCTTCGGGGCGAAAAGAAAGAAAGCAATCATCTCCCTCTGGGAAACCAGGCCCGCCCCCTCCGCTACGGGCACCGCCCCCAGGGACAAGACCAGTCCACTCCGAGAGCGAAACTGGCTTCGACCTGGAAAGGTGCCAGGGTTGTCATGGAGATGGCCGCAGGCTAGGGACTAATGAATAGGGACCTCAGGAGGCTGGGGCTCCCACTCACCTACCTCCACCGCAATCCCTTCTCTTCTGAGACTGTAGCGAAAGGGATTCACCCCATTTTTTAGTGTCTCCCAAAGGCCACGTGCTGGATGGACACTGTACCTAATTCATCTTCCTGTGACCCCATTTTATAGATGAGCTAATTGAAGAGGGGGGAGCGAGGGGCGGAGAAGTTTACTCTGAGGAGGATCTCAACGGATCCAAGGCATTAATTACCAGCCAGACGCTGGCGACTCCCACGCCTCTGTTCCAGGCGCTGACTCCTTCCTGCCTGCGAACCGCTGGAGCCAGCCACCTGCGCGCCCGCCTGACCTCCGCACCTCTCCCCCCACCTCTGCCTGCTCCCTTCCAGGGGCGGCCTCCCCTGCCCTCCCATCCGAGTACCCAAAACTGAGTCCGCCTCATCCTCCCCACCCTTCGTCCCTCTTTATTCATCTACAAACATTTGTTGAGCCCGTTATCTGTGCGAGGCACGGTGCCACCTACGGACAGAGCAGTTAAGCCAACAGGCAAAACAAGCCCCTGGCCTCGCGGAGTTTTTATTCTGGTGGGAGGGGAGATAGGCAGTCAATGGGTAATTCACAAGTTGCCTAATGTTTGTTCAAGACAAGTGCAATGTTGAAAATTAAGTCAGGGTAAGGACTAGAGAGGGTAAGGGGGGGGGTATTTTAGCTACGGGGGACAGGACCGGCGTCCCCGGGGAGATATCAAAGACGGGAGGGACGTAGAGGGAAGTTGTGAGGAAATCTAGGGAAGGGCATTCCAGGCAAGGTGAACAGCAAGTGCAAAGGCCCTGCTGAGTCCGGAAAGAGGGCGGTGTGAAACAGGAGGGAGGAAAAAAATGAGGTGAAGGAGGCCCCAGGGGCCTAGACAAGTGGAGCCTTGTGGCGGGGTGCGGGGTGGGTGTGGAGGTTAGAGGGGGAAGTTCTGGCTTTTATTCCCATGAAGATGGAGAGCCAACGGAGTGTGTTCAGTTCAGGGGTGACACGATGTGATTTCTGGGAGCTGGAGACTGGACAGGAGGGAGGGGGGCTGGAAGCGGGAGAGCCAATGAAGAGGCGTTTACAGTGGGACTGGCATCCAGGAGTAGATCCCTGAGCCAATCAGCGCCAGGTCTCGCCCCCTGCCTAGGGTCCCTCCTTCCAAGGCAGGGTCGGTGGGGCCAGGCCCCGTCTCACCTGGGCCGGCGCCCCGCCTCCTCCCTGCTCCGCACCTCGGTCTCCCTTGCATCCGGCTCGGCCTCCACGCGGGTCCCTCAGGAATTTCTCTAAAACACTAATCGGATCATGTGACTCTCCTGCTTAAAACCTTTTCAATGGTTTCTCAGTGCACTCGGAAGGAGTCCAAGTTCAGCCTGGACTAGGAGGCCTGCCACGGTTGCTCGGTGCGCCTCTGGCCTCTCTCTGCCACGCTGGCCGCCTTGGGGGCCCCAGTCCAAGACCCCCCAAGCCACAACCCCTCTTCCACGTGCTGTTCTCTCTGCTTAAAATTTTCTTTCCTGTCACCTACCCTGCCGGATTCGTTTCTTCTTTTAAAAACAAAACAACACACCCACAAAAAAAGGCTTTCAGGACTTCAAAATGTAAATGATAAAATAACACACATATCCTAGACATATACTCAAAAGGATTGAAAACAGCTCTTCAAACAAAAACTTATACACGAATGTTATAACAACACTATTCACAATGGCCTAAAGATAGGAACAACCCAAATGTCCACCAACAGATGAATGGATAAACAAAATGTAGTGTATAGCGGCCCCTTCCTATCTGTGGGTTCTGCATTCCTGGACACAGAGGGCTTACTGCAAGGGGCCAGAGCATCCAGGGATTTGGTACCCGTAGGGGTCCTGGAACCAATCCCCTGGGGATACCGAGGGCGGGCTGACTCCTACAATGGAATATT